GCCCTGAGCTGTCAGCACAGAGCCCAACGTGGGGCTCGAACTCAGGGACCACGAGCTCATGACCTGAGCCAAAGTCGGCCGCTTAACCGACTGAGCCACCCAGGCGCCCCTAAAACTAATTTTAAAGAGTGATCCTAGCCCCACAGATCCCTGTGAATGCCTAGGACCCGAAGTTTGGGAAGCACTGTTTGGTAATACCCTATCTGTCCTGCAATGGACATGGGATCTGGGCTGCAAGCCTGGCACAGAACACAGTGAGTGACCCCTGACTGAAGAAAGTTCGGTGCCAAGGTCTCCTTATGTTATAAATCACTAATCTCATTCCCTTCCTTCACTTTTCAGAGGGACATGCTAATAGAAGCATGGGGACATGTGCCTAGTAGCCGCATTAGCCCTGGAGACCAGGGCCAGGTCAGACATGGAGATCATCCCAGTGGGAGAATTCAAAGCTAGAGGGCAGGCAGAGGGCCTCTGCTTTCAGGGGAACATTATAGCTACCCCCAATGCAACCAAGCCTCCAGAGCTCTGAAGAGTATGTCAATTATGTGGTGGCTTCAGCAAGGACTGTGTCCACAAGCACATTGACAAAGTGACAAATCAGGCCTTCAAAACACCAGCTGCACCAGAACTGGGGCAGAGAAGTCAGAAGTCACTCAGCAGAGATCAAAGACACAGCCGAGGGGGTTTGTGCTGACAAAGCTAGTTGAATGGTGTTTGATTTGGGACATATTTACTTTGGAAAATACCCAATACCAGCCCAGCATCAAAGTTCACATTGAAACCCTGCTGGTGACCTTGGCTCATTTCATCTCTGCCACACTTCTCAGAAGCACAGAGGTGAGTTGGGTTTCTGACATTTCTGCTGATTATAAACTCTTATTTGCGGTGGTTAGAGATGGGTAACTGGTGCATTTCTCTATCAAACTACAAGTTCAAAAGCTTTCTACATCATCCTAAAAATGGAAAAATGTTTTTATTTTTTAGTCTGCCTATTGTAACATTCGTCAGTTATGTTTTTGAGACAATTGACAAAATTGGAACAGGAACTAGAATAAAGTATTGTGCCTATGTTAGATTATTTTAAATGGATAACTGTACTATGATGGTGCATGAAAATATCCTTGTCCTTAGGCACTTTTCCCTAAAATATTAGAATTTAAAGTGAGAGGGACATACAAGTGACCTATTGTCAGAAAGTTCAGAAAAAAAAGAGTATACATGTGTGCCTGTGTGCACACCCATACACACACACACACACACACACACACACACACACACACACACGCATACACACGGAGAGAGCCATAAAGCAACTGTTCTAAAATACAAAAGCTGGTGAAATCTGGGTGCACAGGGATTGTTTTTTATGCTGATCTTTCAACTTCTGTAAGTTTGAAGTTATTCTAAAATGAAAGATTTTTTAAAAAAACTTTAGGCAGTTACTTCTCTCCCAACACATCTGCCCTCTTGGGGCCTGAAGACACACCCTGGAGGGACTAGGGTGTCCAGATGTTACGCTCTGATGCGTGATCAAAAAGGCTAAACCTGTTCCATACAATTGGCATGAGAAAGCGCCATATAAAGTTCCCAGAAAAGCAAACTTTTGAATGATTTACCTTTAAAAAATATTGCTTCTCTTCAAAGATAGTCATCTGGATTTAAACACAACTTAGTGATAGTTTTAAAGTGTCTTATATAATTCTTAATAAATGGCAAAATGACAGGAAGATGGGCCTTTTAGATCCTTAATTTAAAAAAAATTTTAATACTTATTTACTTTTGAGAGAGAGAGAGGCAGAGACAGAGACAGAATATGAGCCGGGGAGGGGAAGACAGAGAGGGAGACACAGAATCCGAAGCAGGCTCCAGGCTCTGAGCTGTCAGCACAGACGCAGAAGCAGGGCTTGAACCCAGGAACCGTGAGATCATGACCTGAACTGAAGTTGGACACTTAACCGACTGAGCCACCCAGGTGCCCCTTAGATCCTTAATTTTAATCCACAAACAATATCAAAGAGCTTTTCTCCTTCCTCTAATAAGGGAATAATGAACACTATTTTTGGTTTTTTATCAGATAATGCAGAAACAGGGTATAAGAAGCTTCCAAATATACTACATGAATACATGAAAAAAACATGAATGTCTTCATCTCTGCCTCCTTATCTGGTCTCAGATTCCTTTTCCTGAACTCTTACTCATTCACGTTACTGTTGTTGTTTTTAACCTTGTTTTTATCTGAGAAGGATCCTTTTAAGTGCAGCCTAGAAAGGAGACTTTCATCACGTTGCTCACTTTCTTCTCTTTTTACAGTGTACTGCTATCAATATTCACGCCCAATTCTGTCTGGAAATTGGGCCCAGTTCTACCTGTAGCCAGACACATTAGAAGTTGTTTCCCGCAAGTGGGACAGGTGTGCAGCATGGTAGCCTCAGCTGGGTGTTGGTGGGGTGGGGGGGCGGTGTGGGGCAGGAAAAGACAGCGGACATTTTCTAAGTCAGAAACTGTGACTTGCCCTCTCCAAAATGTGTGATTCAAAAGTCTCTTGGTGGTGATTAGAACAGCATTTGAGCCAACTATTTTCACAGTACCATAGGGGAAGACCCAACCAAGGAGGGAGACTAGGGGGCAGAGAAACCAGTCCTGGTGCTTCCAGGCAAACAGGTGGAGGTTCCACTGCCACGTATAGTGACACAAGGCTCAGTATTCTGGTATGTAAAATGCTGGAAGGATGAAGTTAAGTTGCACAGATGAAGTTCCTTGTATAGCACCTGGCATTCAGCAGACACTCTATCAAGAGCCACTGCTGTCATCAACATCAACAAAACCAAGAGCATCCCAAGTGGGGTATCTGTATAGCTAGCCCCATTTCCAGGCCTAACAAGTCCAAATATTTATTTAACAGGTGCCAGTAACTCTTATCTGGCTTGGACTAGAAGCAGATATTCTGGTGATCAAATATCTACCTAATGGGAGATGGTTACACACACACACACACACACACACACACACACACACCCCAAACTTTACAAGACACAATTCTTCCATCTGGTCTCTTCAGAAGTGATGCTAGGATCACGTGTGATGGTGTAGCATTAAAAATGCCTGCTGTTGCTGTCCCAGAGAAACACAGAAGCATCAAATGATAGTTCATCTACCCAGGATGTAATTATTACATAGGAAGTAAGCAAGAGAAAGGTAAAGCCATTGGTAGGTAAAACTGATTTGACAAATCAAGGCACATCCTTCCTTGGAACAAGGCAAGGGATGGGTAGATAAAGACAGGCTTACTTACCACAGCATATATATTAAAAATTTACCTGGTTGATTTCAATAAAGGGACTGCCCCTCAGGCCTTTTAGTAAGAGCTGACATTACCCTAACACAGACCTTCTAAGTCTGGTAAGATTATTTCTAATTCAATGCTAGAAGCAGTTAAGTAAGAAAGTTTTAGTAGTTCTCCTGCTAGCAGTGGGAGCCAAGTAACAGATGCAAAGAAGACAGCACATCTGCGGTAAGCCATATAACCTCACAGCTTCTGGGGCTCCAGGGGAAAGACGAGCCACCAGTCACCTTTCATTAGGCACCCAGAGGATCACTACATTACGACAAATTCCAAATCTTACGCAAATTACACAACCCCAAAATAATGACACAAATCTCACATTATCTTTAGGATATCTGTTTTCAGAAAAGCCTGGCCTGCATACATTTTGCAACATCTCCACTCAGGCCCCACCTCTTGGTGAAGCTTGGTGAAGCTCTCCTGGCACCCTGCTCCTACCACAGGAAGCAGAGCCGCACCGCAGCTCTGCACCCCTACCTGCTTTGGTAGTGTCCTTATGTGAGCCCCGTGCTTTATTGCACATCTGCTCCCCATCAGGCGAGCAGAACCCCTTGGTGGGGGAGACTTTTGTGCCTCCCGTGCCTAAAATATGTTGTTTGGAAACAGGAGACAAAGTTTAGTGAATGAATGAAAAAGAAACTCCCTGGGAATGCTAAGCCCCCAGGATTCTATATGGTTTTAGTTTTGCAAACCTTAAAGAAGGGATTCTCAAGTAGGGTCCACAGATCCTTCAGGCAGGTTTATGAAACCACACAAAATATTAGTTACCTGTTTATCTTCACTAGCTTCTCTTAAAGTTCATGATCCTAAAATGGTTAAACACTCTGACTCCCAGGGCACCTTCCTGGGTCAAAACCCAGATGACTGCTTGTCATCTGAGCAGTGTGGTGGCAGGTCCATGAGGCCACCTCTCACCATGTCATTGGTTTTCTCTCCCAGCTTTAGCTCTGCCAAAATGAAATGCCCATTCCAACCCCTCATCATTTCTCTCATCCTAATGTCTATATGTGGGAGCAACAGCCTGGCTGGTCAGCTTGAGAAAGGAGGGGAAGATTCTATATCCACAGACCCCCAATGGGGGCAGTTAAATAGCAAAAACCTGAGCATGCCCCTTCTCCCTGCTGACTTCCACAAGGAAAATACGGTCACCAACGACTGGATCCCAGAGGGGGAGGAGGACGAGGACTATCTGGACCTGGAGAAGATATTCAGTGAAGATGATGACTATATTGACATCATCGATGCGGTTTCGCCAACCGATTCAGAGGCTGGCGAAGGGAACATCCTCCAGCTCTTCCAAGGCAAGAGCCGAATCCAGCGTCTCAACATCCTCAATGCAAAGTTCGCTTTCAACCTTTACAGAGCACTGAAGGAGCAGGTGCGTCCTTCCGACAACATCTTTATAGCCCCAGTGGGCATTTCCACCGCCATGGGTATGATTTCCTTTGGCCTGCAGGGGGAGACCTATGAACAAGTGCACTCGATTTTGCATTTTAAAGACTTTGTCAATGCCAGCAGCAAGTATGAGATCATGACCATTCACAATCTCTTCCGTAAGCTGACTCATCGCCTCTTCAGGAGGAATTTTGGGTACACACTGAGGTCGGTCAATGATCTTTATGTCCAGAAGCAATTTCCAATCCTGGATGACTTCAAAAGGAAAGTAAAAGAGTACTACTTTGCGGAGGCCCTGGAGGCTAACTTCTCAGACCCTGCCTTCATATCGAAAACCAATAACCACATTCTGAAGCTCACCAAGGGTCTCATAAAAGACGCTCTGGAGAATATAGACCCAGCTACTCAGATAATGATTCTAAACTGCATCTACTTTAAAGGTAAGAATAGCTGGGGCACCTGGGTGACTCAGTCGGTTAAGCGTCCGACTTTGGCTCAGGTTAGAATCTCATGGTTCGTGGGTTTGAGCCCTACGTTGGGCTCTGTGCTGACAGCTCAGAGCCTGGAGCTTGCTTCCGCATGTGCTCTCTCTCTCAAAAATAAATAAACATTAAAAAAAGAAAAATTTAAAGGTAAGAATAGCTTAAGTTTCTCAAAACAAATTCGCAACATACTTTTAGTGCACAGATGGACTGAACATCGAGAACTATATTCTAGAGGCTCCTGGGTGGCTCAGTCAGTGGAGTGTCTGACTTCAGCTCAGATCATGGTCTCATTGTTCGTGGGTTCAAGCCCCACATTGGGCTCCATGCTGACAGCGTGGAGCCTGCTTGGATTCTCTCTCTCTTCCCCCCTCTCTGCCCCTCTCCCATTCATGCTCGCTCACTCTCTCTCAAAATAAATAAACTATACAAACTATTTTAAAAAAATGTTCTAGCTCTGATTTATCCAGGAAACCAAGACACAGGTTAGCTCACAGGGAAGATGAGGATGGGGTGATGGTGGCAGCTGACACTGAGCCCTAACTCTGTGCTTTCTGCTCACTGAATCTCCACCAAAACCTTGTTATTAGTGTTGCATGTTACAGATGGAGACACTAAGGCACAGAGAAGTAAAATGAGGCTCCCAGGGCACACAGTCAATTAAGGGCAGAGCCAAGGTTGTCCCAGGTTGCTTTGTTAAATTGGAAGAAAAAATGGAAAACCTTTTTAGAATTTGGCCAGCCTAGATTTGAGGGTTTTTGGGGTGTTTTTTTTCATCTCCTTCCCCAATTATTGGTAAGCAGGAATATGGACAAGAGGCTGAAGACAGATGTCTGAAAACTGTTCAGCTTGACTAACTGACATGAACACCTGCAACTCCTTTTTGGGATACTTATGCACTAATGGGCAGGAGGGGGCGGGGAAATATACTATTATTTCTAGACCAACTGTTCTGCGCCAGGCAAGAAAGGAGGACATTTGCCAACCCCACACCACTATGCACATAGGACCCCTGGGATCCTAGAAATAAATTGGCAATGGACTTGTAAAACCCAAACCTCTTTCATAGTGCCCTGGGACCTGAACCAGAAGAAACCTCTACCCCACTCTACAAGCCTAGAGAGCCAGAGGGCAGACACAAGGAATGAGTCTATATCTCAACGACTCATGGTGACACACAATCACTCTCCTCTCTGCCACCAAGAACTGGCAGGCACCAGCTAGAGTCAGTCCCCCAGGTCTGGGAGGCCACGCTTCTTCGCTACTTAGCTCCAGTGTTGGTTATAGCAGCCCAGAGAGGTGAAGGACAGGAGACCTCTCTTGGCTGCTGCTCTGAGGTGGTGGGGCTGCTGAAGGTAAGCCGAGACCTCCTCACAGCTGTGTCAGGTAGGCATTCTGCCAGATGGGCAAAGTAGGGCTGAAGCAGCCAAGACCACAGGAGGGACATGGAGGCTGAGCCAGGTCCCTGGGCTTCCCCCCCGAATGCCAGGCACACCGCTGGCCTTGTGGTGGGTAGATCAAAGGCTGAGGCTCTAGCAGGCTTGTGACAGACACACACACACACACACACACATGAACTATATATACAGTGAACACATACATATAATTTTTATTACTGGCTGTAAGTATGTCTTTTGGAAGTGAGCAAACTGGAGTGTAAGCCCTGGCCTCACCACTCCCTATTCATGTGGCCTCAGGAAAGTCATTCAATGTCTCTGCGACTCAGTTTCCTCACCTTTATCACAGAGATGATAACATCTACTCTAACAGGGCTGTGTGCAGGACTGCAAGAGACAGTGATACAGTGCTAGCCCAGTATGTGGAATGTGGCAGGAGTTTAATGAACTTGAATGAGTAAAACTGCAGATGTCAATGTCATATAATATATTAAGTAGGTATGATATTGCTAGTGATGTTTACTCTGCTTCTATGGGCAACTAACCTATGTTTAGGAATGGCTTTAGAACAGCCAGTGTAAGTCACTTGGGCAGCATCAAGGCCCTCAGTCTTACTGGTCTGTGGGGCACCCTGGACACGAATGCCTATGCATTAGGCTAGCTGGATGATTGGGAATAGACAGAGAAACACAGCAGCAAGCCACTCATGCCAGCATGGGCTTCAGAAATAACTAGGACAGTCAGTTTATGACCTCCTGCACTCAGTGACCAGTGTAACGCCAAAGGGCAAAAGTGGCAAATATATGTGCGTCCTTTTCCCCTCATGTTGGATAGTCACTTAATTTAGTGTTGGAACCAGAGGGATGAAATGCTAATAGGAGTTAGTCTTTCATTGATGCTTATCAAAAGAAAGGAAGGTCTAGAGGTGTATTTTATTTTATTTTATTTTATTTTGAGAGAAAGAGAGTGTGTGTGGGAGTGGGGAAGGGGCAGAGGGAGAGAGGGAGAGAGAGAATCTTGGGCTCCGCACCCAGCTCAGATCTAACACAGGGCTCAAAGTCATGACTGTGAGATCATGACCTGAGCCAAAATCAAGAGTCGGACACTTAACTGACTGAGCCACCCAGACGTCCCTAGAAGTGTAATTTTAATCACCAGCTTCTAAATCTGTTACTAATTTGATTTTTAATTACAAATGTTATAACCACATTGCAAAGCCAATAAAAACAGAGGTTGGGCCTCAGGAGGAAGTCAGAAGAATCCTAGGAGACATGTGACAGCTCCAGCAGAAGGGTAGTGACATCCGTGGTTGCAACAACCTGGGGGCAGGGGGAAGCACCCCTGGCATCTCAGGGGCAAAGGTCAAGGATGCTGCTAAACACCCTACAAGGCAGGACAGCCCCCACAACAGAGAACTGCCCAAATGTCAACAGTGCCGAGGCCGAGAAGCCTGGGGCAGAGGCCCGCACAGGGAGAAGGAAACCTGGCTCCCATCACAGGCAGGCAGTTTAAACCTCCTCCTAAAGAACCTCCAGCTTACCTCATCCCAGCAGTTCTAACTACCAACTGGAAACCTAGAACAAGTTACTTAGCCTCTTTGTGCCTCTGCTTCCTTGTCTGTAAAACAGGGCTAATAATAAAAAGCATGCACCTCATATGGTTGCTAGGAGGAAGGAATGAGTGATCCAGGAGAGATGCTTAGGGGAACGCAGGCACACTGCCAGTTCTCCATTGTCAGTCAGCAGTCATTAGTAGCTACCAGCACCTTAGAGCTAAAAGAGAGGCCTGCTTATTCCTGGATACAGTGTTACACCGGAATCTTTTTTTTTTTTTTTTAGTTATTTATTTTGAGAGAATAAGAGTGAGAGAGAGTGTATGTGTGCAAACGAGGAAGGGGGGCAGAGAGAGAGAGGGAGACAAAGAATCCCTGGCACGCTCTGTGCTATTAGCATAGAGCCTGACCTGGGGCTTGATCTCACAAACCATGAGATCATGACCTGAATGGAAATCAAGAGTCAGATGCTTAACCGACTGAGCTATGTAGACACCCCACACCCAAATCTGATGTGAAGATCTGATGGCATCATCAGTGTGTGCAGCTAGTCCCTATCGAATCGCAGAGTGGAGAGGATGAAAGCCATCAAACTAGAGCTGTCATGAGAAAAAAGCTACTCTTTTTATAGATCAACAACAAGCAGAGGTCCAGGCATGTTAGGCATCTTGCTAGAGTCAAACAACTAGTTAGTGCCTGCATCTACACCAGAATTCATTCCAGTCTATTTCTCTACCATTATCACGCTTCCTACAAGTATGTTAGCATTGTGACCTTCTTGGAATCATTTAGAACAGTGGTCCTCAAAGTGTGGTCTCTGGACCAGGAGCATCAGCATCACCTGGGAACTTGTTAGAAATCCAAGTTCTTGGCTCAAATCAGACCTACAGAACCAGGGACACTGGGGGTGGGCCCTGTAGCCAGAACAAGTCCTTCGGGTGTTTCTGTTGCACACTTACATGTGTGGACCACTGCTTTAAAATAACATTTTAATAAAAGCCTTGTTCTTGTTGACTTTACAGGATCCTGGGTGAATAAATTCCCAGTAGAAATGACACACAACCACAACTTCCGACTCAATGAACGAGAAGTAGTCAAAGTTTCCATGATGCAGACCAAGGGGAACTTTCTGGCCGCAAATGACCAGGAGCTGGACTGTGATGTCCTGCGGCTGGAGTATGTGGGGGGCATCAGCATGCTAATTGTGGTCCCTCACAAGCTGTCTGGGATGAAGACCCTTGAGACACAGCTGACACCACAGGTGGTGGAGAGATGGCAGAAAAGCATGACAAACAGGTACTTTAAGTTGAATGTTCTTTTGATCTCTGGGAGGCTGGGAGAGCCCAGGAATACTGGGAACTTTGGTCATTTTAAGAAGGAAGCTGTGTGCACAAAAAAAACAAGAACTGTTACACTGGGTCACTCTTGTTAATTCAGACCAAATTTCCTGCTCAGTGAGAAGTAATCAGAAAGCATCTGTGAGAAACACATCTGCCTTCCCTATGACAGTTTCAGAAGTGAGGGGCAGGTGACTTTGTGCCAGTATGGAAACAATCCTGGCTCTGCCATCTAGTTGCTCTGTGGCTTTGAGCCCTGGCTTTGTCATCCGTAAAGGTAGCATGATTCCATGATTTCCCAGGGTCACAGAGAGAAATAAATAGAAATGTAATATTGAGCATCCCTCACAGCGCCTGGTGCCTGAGAGGTGTTCAACAAAGATGAGCTTTCCCTTTCCTGAGCAGGAAATCCTGTGGTCCTTGTAGCCTATTAAGGACATGTCATTCATGATTTTCCTCTTACTATTTATTACTCCATAGACAAAACTACAGGTTTTAAATATTTACTATGACTATTAGAGGATCATGGCAGAAAGAATAAAAAAGTTGTTTTTCTGCTTTATTTAATACTGGCTAGGCCCATATTAAGATATGAATTTGGTTCAGATTTCCTTTTGGGACAAAAATACAAAGAAATGAGGGATGCCTGGGTGGCTCAGTCGGTTGAGCATCTGACTCTTGATTTCGGCTCAGGTCATGATGCCAGGGTCATGGGATTGAGCCCCATGTTGGGCTCTGAGCTCAGCATATGGCCTGCTTGAGATTCTCTCTCTCTCTCTCTCTCTCTCTCTCTCTCTCTCTCTCTCAAAAAGAAAACAAAAAAAAGTCCCTCTTGTGCCTGCATCCTTCTTAACCTCACTGCCATGACCTCCTACCCTGAGCCAGGAAGGCCTAACCAGCCTGTCCATTCCATTCCTCAAGCCACCCCGCACTGGCCTCCAAACAGCATTCCCAAAACACCCTCCACTCCACCTCCTCTTCTCATAAGCTCTCTGTGGGCCCCCTGCCCATGGGATGTGGCCTAGCTTCTTGGCTAGGCCCAAAGACACAGCCCCCATCTGACCTGCTCCAGCCCTCCTCCTCTTTCCTCCCCACCTGCCAAGTGCCCCATTGTACCCCAGCCATACCACAGCCTTAAGCTCCCTCCAGGCTTTGCTCATACCATCTCTCAAGCTGTGGGCAGCCTCCAGGCCACAGGAATATCCCTCCTCCCCATCCCCTGTTGGATGGCTCCAGTACTTAGATCTATTCTAGTTGTTCAGACATTATCATACCACCTTTACAATTCTGTTGCTTCACACATGTGAGTACTGGCTTGGCAAAAGGGAAGCAAACTCTTGAAAAGGGGGACCATGCCTGATGTCCTCTTTATCTCCTTCATGTGCTGGACTTGGCCCTATGGGCACTAGAGTTGCTGTTTATCAATAAGGACTGAATGTGTTGAGGCAAGGACTGAGAACATTTAGCACTGTCTGGCAAATGAAGGCTTCTTTTTTCAGTACACTGACCAGATATTTAATTGCTTACTTAACGAAATAAGAAATGCCTAAAATCAAGGACCCAAACAAGAGAATTATTTTAGATACCCTCAAACCATAAACCAGTAACCATTCTGCTGCTGGCCAGGAAGGCAGGATGTGAATCCCACAGTATGGAGGAAATGACTGCACAGTACTAACCATATCTCCATTTTAAGGAACTGGAATCATAATGGATGGTCTCTCTCAAATCCTCAACTGACAGTACTAGGATGTGAATTTTAAGAAGTGCTGCATTAATTCTGTGGTAAAAGCAACCTGGGGTTGGTGGGAGAAAGGTAGGTTGTGGACATCTGAGGGAAAGACATGATTCTTGTATAACTTGTGGTTCAATAAAACTGGGCCCCCTTTCCTTCTCTGATCAGAACTCGAGAGGTGCTTCTGCCTAAATTCAAGCTGGAGAAGAACTACAACCTGGTGGAGGCCCTGAAGTCAATGGGGGTCACAGCGCTGTTTGACAAAGACAGCAATATGGCAGGAATCTCAGACCACAGGATCACCATCGATCTGGTAATCTCTCCCCTTGTCCACCCTCTGCACCTGACCCCAGGATCTTCCCCCAGCAAAGCCTCCCTCCTGCCTCACATGACTTCACAGCTCAGGGGTGCTGGGTCTGCTCTCCCTGGGTCTGTCAGGCACTGAGTGGGCAGGGTAGTCTGTTTTAGGGAGCACCATGGTAGCCCCCATCCCCACTGACAGCAGAAAGAGATGGGGTGTGTGCTCCAATCTGTGAAATACCTACACCCAGCTGAATCATGAAAGGCTCATTAAATACATGCAGAGACACTGCATGACCTGCATGCTGAACTTAACACAACCACAGACACTTCACAAAAAAAAAGAGAGAATACCAGTCCAAACAACATGCTGATCGAGGCCCAACCCTTCTGGCAATGCACCTAGAGCTGCTCTCTTGCTGGCAGACCACTCATACTGTCACCACTATGAGCGACTGTAATGTTGGAGTTTAAAGATACACACTGTTTAGGGGTGCCTGGGTGGCTCAGTTGGTTAAATGTCTGACTTTGGCTCAGGTCATGATCTCATGGTTTGTGAGTTTGAGCCACATATCAGGGTCTGTGCTGGCAGCTCAGAGCCTGGAGCCTGCTTCGTATTCTGTGTCTCCCTTTCTCTCAGTCCCTCTCCCACTCACAATTTGTCTCTCTCAATCTTGCAAAAATAAACAAACATTAAAAAAAAAAAAAGATACACAGTTTACACAACACAGCTTCTGAGCACAATTACTGCACTTGGAAGGAGGTGAGCAAGACCTTCAAGGGTCCTTCTGACCAGCTGTGGTTTGGGCCTTGTATGTGGTCTTTCCACCCTGAATGAAAGGAGACTCCACTCTATTCTCTATCCCTCCGTGTGCCCACTGATGGGATCTGACAACTTTCCTTTCCATTTTCAAACAGTTCAAGCACCAAGGTACCATCATGGTGAACGAAGAGGGCACCCAAGCTGCCGCCGTGACCACTGTGGGGTTCATGCCACTGTCTACCCAAGTCCGTTTCACTGTCGACCGCCCCTTTCTGTTCCTCATCTATGAGCACCGCACCAGCTGCCTGCTCTTCATGGGGAGAGTTGCCAACCCCACCAAGTCCTAAAGGTGGAGGTCTGGGCATTTCAAGTGTTTTGGGGCCACTCTGTAATTCTGGTTCCATTCTAACAATGAGAACGGAGATGTTTTGCCATCATGGCTTTCATGGTTTATGCTACCATTCTGAAATCGAGGCCCATAGGAGACAAGAAATTTACAAACGACCAAGAAGCTCACTGGAATCAGTTCAGCACAGTGAATAATGCCAGCAGTTCATAGAAGTTAATGTACCTGTGACATGTCAGCTGTTACCTAGAGGGTGTCAACAACATACAGATGGGTTTAGTTCCTCCTCCTCAGTGCAAACCTGTGGAGGTCCTGCCTGCACACCTCCTTCCCCTGCAGTCCCCGTCCTTGAGCATTTGGCTCTATTACTCAAATTACCAGCGCTCCTCATCTGAACACAGAACACAGAAATGAGCTGCAGGACTAATTTCTCACCTCTCCCAAGGCTGGTGCCTAGGACAGAAGCAACCTCATGACATTTAAGGGGTGCCCTGGGTGTTAGCGCTTCATTCTCTCAAGGTTCAACCTTCCGAATTGATGCTAAATGTCATCTATACTTCTGCTATCACCTCACCGCTGCCCAGAAGACAGCATGTACACATGGCACCATGCTTCCTACCTTAGCGATAAATACATATCGCCACTTTTACTGTGTCTGTTATAATTCTCTATTTTTTCTCTATTGAGGCTCAAATAACTAAGAAAAGCCAAATTCAAAACAGCTGACATCCCTAGGAATGACAGAGGTTGACAATAAGCAACTTGAGTTCTTCACAGTGACTTATGTGCTACACATGGGGCATGTTCCTCAGGATCAGGATGTGGTGAGTGAGGGGGCAAAGATGTTGTGGATGGGGCTTTGTGGAAATTCCTGAAATGCTAGTCTTTAAGTGGGGCACATGCTTCAGCTTTATCCCTGGACACAGGGAGACCGTCAGACAACTTCCTATAGTAGGTCTGGTTTGAGAAAACAGGTGGCATCTGAGGAATATGTTTCCAGATCCTTCGTTACCTGGATAAGACGAGTGGAATCCAAAAAGGCTGCTCAGAATTCAAGAGTGGGGGCACCTCTGCAGTCTGGGGATTATGGGCAGTGACAGGGAGAGCATCCCAAGTGCTGTGTGGCTAACTCTGACCCCCACAGCCCTGCAGGAGAGTTTTTCTCTTCCCTTTTCTGCAGAGGAGGAAGACCAGGGTTTGAGCACAGGTTGGTTTGACTCCAGGGTCACCCGTGGAGTCTTGTCATAGAGGGTTTTAGACCCAGTGAGACCAATTCCAGTTATGGGGCAGCAAAAGCAGAGCACCTCATGTTCCCCGTGGTAGGGGGCGCTGTGATGGGTGTGCAGGCAGGTTATCACTGAGTCCTCATACCAGCTCTAGGGGTTCAAGCTGTTACCATCTTCTTTTAGCAGCTGAAGAAACAATTAAAGATCACAGAGGAAACATGATCTGTCCCAGGCCCTCCTGTTAACTCTTAATACACCTCTCTACCTGCTTCCTTCCCAGCTTCCTGCACCAGAGCCTCCACCTCCATAGCAGGACTGAGGCTATGTCTTTCCCTATCACAGTCTCCTGTGCTCTTGGGAAGCCCTGAGCTTGCTGACACCCCACTCCTTGAATTCTTTCTCCAATTCACTTCCACACAGTCCTTTCAGGAAATGCTTGCCCTGCATTTTTTTTCCTGCTGGTTCCTCGTGCCCCTCCCATTCCTAAATGTGGCTCTCTCAAAAACTCTGCCTGTAGCCCTTTGCCATGCCTGTCCCCTATCCAAAAGGCAGCCGTCTCCCTTCCAATGTGACCTGTCCCACTTCTGCTGGAGCCAGCCCTCCTCTGTGACCTGGCCCAGGTCAAGGCCCTCCAACCTCCATGCTTTTCATTCACCTACATCCACTCAGAATGCACTCAGACCCCCTTTTTCAGAAACTAGCTGATCCAGGTTTTAAGGCCATAGAGTATTAATTCAAAGCACAGACTCTGGGCCAGGCTGCCTGGGTCCCAACCCTGGCTCTGACAATTAGCAGCTGTGGGACGCTGAGGCAAGTTCTGTGCCTCAGTTTCCCTACCTGTAAAATAGGGATAATAACAGCACCTACTTCGCAGCATTGTTATAAAAATTAAGGGAGTTAATGCTTGGAAGGGGTTTACATGAGTGTTTGGTGCTTAGCAAGAGTTAGGTAAGGCCTTCTTATTACTATCTTTGATGAGAAAGTACCTAGCCCAGGGGTTCCTAACTGGGGGTCCTTGGGTGGGTTTCTCCCACTCAACTTCCTGAGATTAAATGCAAAATCTTGTGAAGAAATGCCCTTCTATGGAAAGAGAGGGCAAGGCTTTCAAAGGAGTCCATGACCTAAAATCTGTCAGTTCACAAACCTAATTTTACAGGCACTGAGAGAATAAATAACCTGCCCAAGGCTACAAAAATGACTAGTGGCACAGGTAAACTAACTCTCAGTGAAGTGCACAAATGTTTTCTGAGCAGGAAGCATATCTTATCAAATCACTGGTTTATGACAGTGGGGCACACAGGACTCTAAGCATTAGATACCTTTCAAGGTGCTTAATTAACACCTTGGCTAGACACCAAGAGAAGCAATTTAATCAGGATATTTCTAAAGAAATACTTTTCACAAACTTGCAGGTCAAAGATCACCAAACCTAAGCTCTGAAGGAGCCTCAGAGATCACATGACCTGGCCTCCAGTGACTCCCTCCAGACTCTTAAGGTTACTGATAAGTGACTGATAAGCTGCATTTGAACAGACACCCAGGCTTCCTGCCCCAAACCCACTGGTTCTTCCACTGAACTAAGTACTTGGAGACACTCATCAAAAGATGCAAAACAGAGTACCTTTTTCCAAAAGCAAGGAAAGAAAGGAAAAAAAGAAAGAAAGAAAGGCAAACATTCTTTAAAAAACGCTTTGGAAACTAGTTTCTCCCAGAGGGTCCAAGGGGTAAACCAGAAAGCAAATACAAGATCCCATGATCTCTGTGCTCTTTGTTGAGCAATAGAATCAAATATTTGTTTCCTCCCCCATAATATAACCATTAACTTTTGTTAAGACTACAATACTTATTCTATTCATGTAAAAGGTCACTGCAGTGGAGTAAACAAAGTATTTTAAGTGAGTGTGTGCTTGCCTATCACTGCTAACAGTCATGCCTACACTGACCCAGCACTTCAGAGGTTCATCTCCATCTTTTCGAGAAGCTCTGTGAGCAGAGTAAGCATAGAGAAGCTGTGATGCTCACCCAGGATCACACACACAGTACCAGGAGTCCAACCCCGACGCTTGTGATCCTAAACCCTATGTATTCCCAACCAACCTCATCAGTCATTGCTCCCAGGAAGTGCAGAGTGCCCTCTATGAATTTCTTCTATGCATTTATTTAAACTCTAAATGATAACAGCTACACATGCTGTACCCATGTGCCTGGGTCACAGAATTCTGGTGTTCAAACTCACTAGAATTCACTGAACGAGTGTCACCCCAAACATGCTCCCTGGCTGCCAAAACCTGCTCTCTCATGGAGCCTGCTACCAGCCCTTCTTGCCTCTAATAGGCCAGAAGAGTGCCATGGACTTTATGCCCCTCACCTTTCCCTCCATCGAAACAAAGGATCCATGTACAGTGGTACTTCTAAAACACAATTGTACACTAGTCAATATCAAGTATAAAGAGAAAATGTTTATGTTTTTAAAAACCAATGGAGATGGTGATGAAAAATACTGTGGCTGAGAGTCTTGGCCATTCTCAAATCCTCAAAGCCTGTGGGACAGTACCTGATCGCAGGTATGAAGGTGGTAAAATTCCCAAAGGGAAGTGAAAAGCCATGATTACAGGGAGGCAGCTACAGGTGGAAGCTACACAAGCAAACTTGTAGGCCCCCTTGTCCCCTCAGGCACATTCAGGAAAAGGAGACTGTCCTGACCCAGATGCAAGCAAGTCAGCTCCTGCTCCAGAATTGGCTACTTACAGGGTGAGGGAGAGAGGAAAGGACAGGCAGAAGGAAGGTGAATAGAAGCAGAATGCACCACAATGTGCAACCTGTGACATCTTAAAGGTAAATGATAACAAACCAGTCAGTTTGTTATTTTTCACCCACCTTGGCCAGCTAAAATCAGACATCTAAGGTCCCCAGATTCTGAGTGATGATGTAGAATGCAATAAGTACAGAAACTTAGATCAGCAGAGGTGCCTCTCTGTCCACCTGCCTGACCTCTAGGCCCCTGGGTCACCCTGGCAGCTTGGGAGGTCAGCCCCTCTGGCGTTCCATGTGAAGGGACATGCATGTGAATGCTCAAGAGTCAAACTACTGGGGGTGGGGTGAAGTGGGAAGGAACTGGAAGGCAGAATCAAGGGCTTAACTAGAAGGTAGATTTAGTGGAAGCTAGAGAATCACAGATGAAAACAAATACTAGAACCTGGGGCCCTGACTTAGGACTGGCAGCTGGGAACGGAGAAAGGGGAAAACAACTTCTACAAAGGTCATATGGGAAGAGGTGGCTGTAGGTTAAGACAGGACAAAATGGAGACAGCCTCTCCACCATGGAAGTGCTATGGCAGAGGATGGGGCCTATGTTGGGAGCTGCCTACCATGGCAGTGGGCGGGACTGTAACCCAAAGTATGACCAGCCCACTGTGTCAACAATGCCCCCACGGAGCGCACTGAGGGCTGCAGCTCCAAGAACCAGGCACCGTGCAGAGGCCCCAGGACTCATCTCACTGGAGGGGACCGAGAGGGGATGGAAGCAGAGCCTGCCCACTGTCAGTCAGAGGCACCAGAACAGGTTGTGAGACACAGGACAAACCCAGAGTCACACCTCAGACTTGGGAGCCACACAAGAGGGAACCACAGTGCGTTTCCTGGTCAACTGGCGAGGCGGCTCAGGCAGAGCACGGAGAAAGGGAGTGAGGTGGTATGGCCACAACAGGCACCTACCAATAGGACAGTCCCAGAACAGCTGTAGGTGGCAGAAACACCTCCAGAACAGCTGGAGGCGGCACACGTACAGAATCACTGCGGCCTCCACGCAGCATTCTGCTAAGGAATTTGCGGTGTACCACTAGGCACCACTGAAAATATGGTCACGGTATCTGAAGTTTAAAACCACTCAGTTGATGGGGGGTGGGAGGGAGGGGAGGGTAGGTGATGGGTATTGAAGAGAGCATCTTTTGGGATGAGCACTGGGTGTTGTATGGAAACCAATTTGACAATAAATTTCATATATCAAAAAAATAAAAAATAAAAAATGAAAATAAAACCACTCAGTTAATGAACACTCACCACAGCGATTACAGGAATGAGTACACCCAAGTTCCCCGCACTGCTAGAAGCCTAGAAAAGAATGGAGTCGAGTCATCGGAAGCATGTATTTCTTTCATTAAAAGAGAAAAAAGACAAACATAGTGTTAATTTCAAAGAAATTATGAGATACATACAAAGCGATATATAAACATGCTCACCCAACATCATTTTAATAGCAAAAAAATGGGAAACATGTTAACCAGAACGATTACATAAATCATGGCCCCTGTGTATAATGAAATACCACACAGCTGTTAAAAAGACCGCTTTTGGGGCACCCAGGTGGCTTAGTCAGTCGAGCATCTGACTCGGTTTCAGCTCGGGTCATGATCTCATGGTTCGTGAGTTCAAGCCCTGCATCCCCTGCTTGGGATCATTTCTCTCCCCCTCTGTCTGCCCCTCCCCCATTCCTTTCTCTGTCTCTCAAAATAAATAAACTTGAAAAAAAAAAGACAACTTTCTGAAAAATATTTACTCATCCTTGGAAAGTCCCCACAGCAAAATCAGGATTTCAGAGTATGCTATGATATAATCCCAATTATATAAAATAAATATATCTGCATAAAAAAATCTAGGAAGGAGGGCACCTGGGTGGCTCTGTCAGTCTCTGTCAGTTAAGTGTCCAACTTTAGCTCAGGTCATAATTTCACAGTTTGTGAGTTTGAGCCCCACTGACAGCTCAGAGCCTGGAGCCTACTTCGGATTCTGCAGTTCCTTCTCTGTCTGCTCCTCCCCCACTCATACGTTGTCTCTCTCTCTCTCTCACACACAAAAATAAATAAACATTAAAAAATCTAGGAGGAAGTCTTTCAAAATGTCAGCAATGAGTAGAGGGATTATGGGTGCTTTTTACTTTATTAGTTATAGGTTTCTGCATCTTTTCTATAATAAACATATATTCTTTCCAAGTTATGGAAAATGTGGGGTTACTTAAAAAATAACTAGAAAAAAAATAAATAACTCTAAAAGGTAGGTTCCTGGAGGCTCCTGGGTGGCTTGGTTGGTAAAGCGTTCGACTTCAGCTCAGGTCATGATCTCACAGTTTGTGAGTTCAAGCTCCATGTCAGGTTTATGCTGACAGCTCAGAGCCCAGAGCCTTTCTCTGCTCCTCCCCTACTCATGCTATCTCTCTCTCTCTCTCTCAAAAATAAATAAACATTAAAAAAAAATGTAACAAAAGAAAAAAAGGAAAAAAGAAATCAGTCACCCAGATTACTGTCGGAGGAGTCCAGCAGAGGAAGGCTAAATTAGAGTGAA